AGTGGTGAGACCATTGGCACGCATATCACCCTTGGCGACGTCAAGCCAGCACTTCTTGGGTCTGTTCCTTCTACCGGGGCCCGGCGGAGGCGGCATAGCCAGACATTTGTTTCCCACGTAGCATGCCGGTTTCCGTAAGATGTGGCCGTACCAACGTAGGCGGCTTTCTTGCAGTTTATCTGCAATGTCACGGACGTGAAGGCTGCCGCGGATGCGGGAGTTTCTGACACAGTCTTTCCGTGAAACTCCACACATCCAGCGCAGCATCTTCATTTCCGTGACACGCAGCTCCTGCTTATGGCGCTCAAGTACGGCCCACGTTTCACTACCATATAAAAGGACAGGCCTAATGATGGATTTATAGACCTGTCCTTTCAGCTTAACCGGCATCTTGGGGTCACAAATGACACCAGTCACCTCACGCCACTTTGCCCAAGCGGCTGCGATTCGGGCTCTGACGTCGCAGTCGATGTCTCCGGACGCGCTGAGTACAGATCCCAAGTATTTAAACTGGCCCGTAGGCTCGACCACGTCTTCGCCTATGCGAACGGGTAGGGGATCTGTAGCGTTGCAGACCATGTACTCAGTCTTCGCCACATTTAGTCTCAGACCGCCGTTCTCAAGCGACTCCTTCCACAAATTCACTCGTCGTACCAGTCTCCCTCTATCCGCATCCGCCAGCGCAATATCGTCAGCGTACATAAGCATCCACGGGGGTTGCTCATGCGTGTCTCGGATGGAGCTTGAGACCTCGTCTAATACCACGCTGAACAGATAGGGACTGAGAACTGAGCCCTGGTGAACTCCGACTGTGACAGGGAAGGGTTTAGTGTCACCAACAGCAGTCTTAACCATGGAATCGGAATCGCGGTACATGTCTCGGATGATGTCAATATAAGCTTCTGGTACCCCTTTGGATCTCAGTGCCCACCAGATCATTACACGGGGGATACAGTCGAAGGCCTTCTGCATGTCAAGAAACATGAAATGCAGAGGCGTATTCTTCAATCTGTATTTCTCCATGATGACCCTTAGGGCAAAAACAGGATCCATGGTCCCAAGACCAGGCCGAAACCCATACTGACCCTCCGAGACAGCACTCTCCTGTCGGATCCGAGAGTCTATTATACGCTCGAAGAGCTTCATGGTGTGGGACTCATGTCATCACCTTTATGCCCCTATAATCGCCACACTCCTGCACTGATCCCTTCCCTTTGAAGACTGGAGTGATAATACTCAGTCTCCATTGGTTAGGGATTTTACCGGTGAAGAGCACGCGATTAAAGAGGCCGGTAAGGATGCCCACACCACGGGGACCCATTGCCTTCCAGGCCTCGATGGGAACCCCATCGGCTCCGACAGCTTTCCGATTCTTCATGCGACGAAGAGCTAAGTGGACTTCCTCAGGCGTTACCGGTCGCACTAGTCCCTGATTTGGAGGGAGGACCGGTGGCTGTACCTCTCCGTGCTGCTGATTCAGCAACTCGTGGAAATATGAGCGCCATCTCTCCTTCACCGCGTCGACCTCGCATATAAGGTTGCCATGAGAGTCTTTAATGCAGCGACACTTGGAAATATCTTGTGCCGCTAAGACCCTCGAACGTGCCAGCTTAAAGATAAGCTTCTGCCCCTCAGACGATTCCAACTTGTCGTACAACGGCTGCAAGTGGTCCCGTCTGGCTCTGGCTACAGCTTTCTTAGCGGCACGTTTGGCATCCCTATATGCATCGCGGTCTTCAGAAGATCCGGACGCTTGCCACGTTTTGAAGAGGGCTTTCTTCACCCTCACCTCCCTCTGGACTGTGTCGTTCCACCACCAAGTTTCTTTGTCACATTTGCGACCACCCTTGGACAAGCCCAGCACCGCTTTCGCCGCCTCAGATATGGCAGCCTGAATGTTGTCCCAGTGGTTCTGGACTAGATCACCTTTAGTGTCGGCGCATTTATCGCCGATCGCTGAGTTGAACTCCTGGGACGTGGTACTATCAAGCCGCCACCATCTGATTTGGCGTCGGCAGCGCTCAGCGGGCTTGTCGACCGGCTTTACGCAGAGATCCATGACAAGAAGACGGTGTTGCGCAGTGAGAGTCTCACCTGGTATGACCTTGCAGTTGGCCACTTTGCTGATATGGTGTCTCCTGGTGAGTAGGAAATCGATTTGGGTGGCGTGTCCGCCGCTCCTGTAGGTGATTAAATGCTCGGGGTTCTTTTTAAAGAACGTGTTCACGATGGCGAGGTCGGCCGCCGCACACGTTGTGAGGATGTCTCCTCCCTCCGCGTTGCGACTGCCGTACCCGTAGCCACCGTGGACCCGCTCGAACCCTTCGCACGCCTCACCCACATGACCGTTCAGGTCGCCACCCAAGACGACTGCCTGCGCCAAAGGAATGGCACTCAGCACTTCCCCGAGTTGATCCCAGAACCTCGCCCTGTCCGTGTCGCTGCAACCGGCCTGAGGTGCGTAGGCGCTTATCAAGTGGGTCACGACCCCTTCAATAAGCACACTCACTACCATAAGCCGGTCGCTAAAGCGTTTCACTTCCAGGACGTGATCGTGAAACTCCTCGGAGAGCACCACGGCCACCCCGTTCACGCCCCTAGGAGCACCGGTGTAGATCAGCTTGTAGCCATTCCCAATGAGCCGGGATCTGCTGCCTTTCCACCGAGTCTCCTGCAGGAACGCCACGGCGACCCTCCGCCTGGAAAGCACGTCTGCTAGCTCCCTCGCGCGTCCAGTCAGCGTGCCAATGTTCCACGTGGCAAAGCGGAGCTTCCTGTGATGGGTAGGGGCTCGCCTCTTTAACCGTGCCCACCCTTGACACGGTAGCCCTAGTCCACTTGCCACAGAAGTCGGGCGAGGCTCCTGCGCGCCGTTTTGCGGCGGCGCCCTATCCCTATGCCATATCCTTCTGTTGACTTCCATAAGTTGATGTGGCGGTGTTGGTTTTTACGGGAGCGACTGCCGTCTGACCTCCCAACCCCCGAAAGGGAAAACCCCTCGCTAGAGCCTCGTCCGTCTATCAGCAGGCGCACCACTTGCAGGTGAGGTTAGCTTGGGCTCCAAGATGTAGGTGGAGCCCCCAAGACGCCCTAACAAACCCAAAACAGGTATCAAAGTTATAGGTCGATAATTCTGCAAATTTTATTTACCATCTTTCTTGAAAAGTGGTTTCACTATTGATTTTTTGAAAGTTGGTGGGAATATTGCATATTCAAAAGACAAATTAATGAGTTGTGTCAAGATGGGAGCTAATTCGTCAGCGCAGGCTTTAATGATGTTAGTAGGTATTTCATCATAACCTGTTGAGTGTGTATTATTAAGCAATTTGATCGTTTTTTTAACTTCATTATCATCAGTGGGCTTAAGCTTAAGGACATGTTTAGTTTTCTGCAATAGATCTCCACGTCGATAAATTTATATTTGCTATTGAAAATCGACCTAATTTAACTTCATACTTTCTTAAATCTTTGTAATGATGTTGAAATTATCCATTTATCGATCTGGTTCGTAAAAAGGGATGTATCCAATATATTCGGTGTCTTTTTATTTGAGTAAACAAAAACCAAATAGTCAGGATAACTGCAGCGTCCTGAATGAGTTCTGTATTATTAACTATTCTTGTCAAAGAAGGATCTCGGCTACATATACAATCACTACGGCTATCAACTGCGAACCGAGTACTTTAAGTGACGCGGGGCCGCTAGACCGCTGCCCCCGCGCAGATTAAACCGCGCGTTGACGCAGATCTGCGTCTCCGCCACCGCACGCGTGATTCCGCGTCTCGCGCTCCATCGCGGGGCGCGCTGCAGTGTGATAATCGCCTTACCGTGATTGATAATTTGTTGTAGGTAATGTAGATGTGACAATAAGGACAATTGCAAATTACAATCAGGGGGCTACTCCCGATCTCCGTCTGACATTCGTCCGAAACACTTACTGTCAAATAAATAATACTCGACTAAATCTAAAGACAATGTCAAGTATGCAAGTTCCTTCGCATCATGAATATTTTAGTTTAGTCGAGTATTACTTATTTAACAGCAATTGTATCGATTTTATTACATCTATCACGTTTATATATATCGCGTTATTCACGATCTGGGAGTAATAATGGACCCCAAGCTCAACTTCCATAACCGCATCACGACTCTCTGCAAAGCAGCCTATAAAACTCTTGGTTTTATCATGCGAACACACTACTAGGGTGGCACTTATGCTTTACAATGCTTTTGTAAGAAGTTGGAATATTGCGCGCAAATCTGGAATCCTTATGAGGATAAATACTCCCTCCAAATTGAAAATACTCAACGCAAATGCGCTCTATACTTGTATGAGAGAGTGTATGGTTACTATGCGCTGCTCTTTCCTTCCTTATTTGTATGTGAAATTAGTATGTAAGCGTTTTGGTTGTTACTGTAAATTTGTATTGTGTTTTTATAAATAAATAAGCGAATGACGTTTTAAGAAACTTTTTTTAAATACTGAATAGAAATTTCAACTACAAATGCGTAAGAACTCTCTCAGAAAGTCGTCGGCCAGGGGTCTCAAGTATCTTAGGGTATCGACTGTACCTTACACAATTGACACAAAGCTCATTGTGCTTTGTACAATTTCGTTTCTATTCCGCGACAATGTAAATTATTCAAACCATTAATCTCACGGTTTATACCTTCACTTAGGGTATTGTTTAAAAATAAAAGACAATATTATTAGGATATTTTGGCCCCAATAAAATATATTTTCTTCTTAACTTAAAAAATAAATTTTAAATAGATATTCTATGCATACATAATGTTTATCTTAGGCTTAAAGTATAACTAGTCCAACAGTCGTATTCTAGAGTTCTACTCAATGCTCAAATCAGGATTTGAGTATGGTTTAAAGCACTCGAAATCATACTCAAGTCCCTGCCATTAGGGTCGTATTTCCAGTGCTTGTGTTTCCACTTGCTTGTGTGAGCAGACTTAAGTATGATTTCAAGCACTGGAAATACAACCCTAATGACAAGGACTTGAATATGATTTCCAGTGCTTTAAACCATACTCAAGTCATGACTTGAGCATTGAATACAGTTCTGGAATACGATCCTTAGTGTCGTCAAGATTCCGTCCGGTGGCTTGGCAAAGAATGTAGTCCCTGAAAAAAATGTACAAATCAATATCAAAACCTATCAAAGTTTTACGTCGGTTGCCGATTGCATTGTTAACCATTTCAGTGCATTATATAGTATATTTTTCTCATCTCGTAAGATAATTCAAATGTAGAATGTCACTTCGTACCTTAACAAAACTTAAACTTTATATCTAAATATTTATGTCAATTTTAAGTAATTAGAGTGCACTTGTTTTCAGACGACTTTCAGTTTCAATCAAATGTGCACCGTAATTTTACCGTAATTTTAATATAGTAGGATTATTTTTTATCTCAGGAAGACTTTTGAAGTTGCAGGGATTAACCCACAGACATATATCTAGATAGACGCCGCAAGTGTACGTAATTCGCGTGCCCAAAGTAAGTGAAATTCAATTACTTGCCGCTGTTACACTTCAGAACGCGCTCGACCGTTATCGTAGAACACCAGTCGAAAACGCGAAAAATGCATAATTGTGCCATTAAAAACTGCCAATGCACCATAACTGTGGGTAAACGGGTAAACAGGGACGTTTCCTTCCACGGGACTGATTTGGTAATCAGAAGGTGCATAATTTATTTTAAAAACAATTATTTTGGTTTTGTACGAATTTCGAGAAAACAAATATGCAACCGAGTTTGTCTCATATTTGTATACATTGTCTGATTATCTATACATTGCGATTGCGAAGAAACCGGATCGAAGAAATTTTTTCTGAGTGTTTTTTCTGAGCGTTCGATCTTTGTATTAATAATTATAACAAACTAGTGGAGTAATTTCACAAAAAATAATTGAATATCAATTCAATAAAAATTTAATTAATACAGTGAATAGCGACATCTCTCGCCAGGACTAGTAGCTGTAAAGGTACTAACTGGGTGATAAATCTGCAATAGATTTCTCATAGATGGCGCTACGACTAAAAAGTCGTTGAAAGATCAAGTACAAAGACACGACGCAAGCACATAGAAAAATTCGTGAGGTCCGTTGGTTCGTTCCGTGGCTTAGTTGGTATAACGTCTGGCACGGTATGAAAGAAGACGTCGGTTCGAATCCGACCGGATCGAAGGAATTTTCTCTGAGTGTTCGATCTTTGTATTAATAATTATAACAAACTAGTGGAGTAATTGCACAAAAAATAATTGAATATCAATTCAATAAAAATTTAATTAATACAGTGAATAGCGACATCTCTCGCCAGGACTGGTAGCTGTAAAGGTACTAACTGGGTGATAGATCAGCAATAGATTTCTCATAGATGGCGCTACGACTAAAAAGTCGTTGAAAGACCAAGTACAAAGACACGACGCAAGCACATAGAAAAATTCGTGAGGCCCGTTAGTTCGTTCCGTGGCTTAGTTGGTGTAGCGTCTAGCACGGTATGCAAGAAGACGTCGGTTCGAATCCGACCGGATCGAAGGAATTTTTTCTGAGTGTTCGATCTTTGTATTAATAATTACACTAACTTTTGTTTTAAGAATATATGTATATATGTGAATATATATAAAACATGTTTATTAAAATCAATTACCATGATAATTATAACAAAAATTTAATCTTCATTTGTGGTGTTACTAGTGTTACTACTGTTACGGGTGTTACACAATTAATGTCATCAAAATTTTCTGTCTTCGTTTCCTTCCTTCAAATCCTACCGAATAATTTTATATAAGCGGCTTGCTAATAATTCTACGTAAATGTATAAGGAACGAGCCCTGTAACCCACCTACGGGTGGTCGGGTTCAGTTTACGGGGTGTGCTAATGCTCTTCGGTGGCACAGCAGTTAGTACTATGGGCGCTTGATGGCAAAGTCGATTCCCGATTTGGGCCAATTTAAGAAACGAACATTTTTTAAGTTGGTTTTGGTCTGAGTATTCTGGATTATCGTTGTTTTCGTATTCATAGTACAGGAAATTCGGCAGTAGTTTGGCATTTTTTCCCCCTAAATCCTCTTTGGCATAGCTTTCAAGAAAATGGAATCTAATAGATATGGTTGAGATACAACAACGCTATAAGAAGTATCTCATTTCCACTACATCGGGAAGTACGCCTCACATTTTTACAATTGTGAGATCTTGTACTCGTATACAATTACCTCCATACGAAGGCATGCGGACGCTTCGGGTTTCGCCCTCTGCGGCCTCGGCACCTAGGACTTTGTTTTAAAAAAAATTAAATAGCTCTTTAATGGCGGCCATATTTAAAAATTACAAAAACATATTATGACCACTAATTATTATCAAACAATCTTAGAAATCTTTTCATGCTAATTTTCAGTCCGAGCAAAGCACGTTACATAAATAAATTACGGCTATATCGAAAAACATCGGAAACAAAATTTTTACCCCAAATTATGATGCCATCTCATTTTCAGTCGAATTAAAAGAAATTTGTATCTACCGCCAAAAAAGTTTGTATGGTAGCCACATTGAAAAATGGTAAAAAATAAATTTTAACCGCTAATTATTATTAAACACTCATAAAGACCCCGACATTCCATGTCCATTTTCAATCGAATTAGTGCAAATTTTTATCTGCCGCTAAAAGAGTTTGTATGGCGGCCATATTTAAAAATGGCGAAAAACCAATTTTGATCACAAATTATTATCAAGCACTCCTAGAGACCCCCATATGCCAATTTTCTAAGGGAAAGGGATCTGAGCAATTTTTTTTCTGTCGCCAACGAACGCTTCTATGACGGCTATATTTGAAAATAGCGAAAAACAAATTTTGAGTACAAATTATTATTCGGCATTTCTAGTGGCCTTCACATGCCAATTTTCAGTCGAATCAGAGCAAATCTCTTTTGGCAGCTATTTTTTACGAAAAAAACACTTACATGGCAGCCATATAAAAATATGGCGAAAAGAAATTTTTGACCCCAAATTATGATTAAGGACTCTCAAAGACCCTCGCATGCCAATTTTCAGCCAGATCGAAGCAAGTTTTTCTTCGGCCGCTATTTTAAAATCGCCATCTTGAATTTTTTTTAACCCAGGCAGTTGACCAGTGTTACCCTCTATGACATTCCTTCGAGCACCTCCTACCTATCTCTAATAGTTTCCATGATAGGAGGCTTTGAAATGTGTATGGCGGCCATCTAGTTTATTTGAATTTCGAACATTTTTTACTTCCCGCGGAATTTGACCAGGGTGTATCTTATAAAATGCACAAAAATCCCCTCATGTATTATAGTTTTTGCAAGCCGTTGATCACTCTTTCTTAGCTCTTAGATAAATAAATAAGTAGTGTTTTTATCAGTAATCATCAAAGTAGCGATGCAACACCAATCGATAGATTTAAAAAAAATGGTAAAATGTTAGAATCCCCGCATTTTCCCCACACAGTGCCAATCGCACAAAATGCCCAATTGATTTGAAATTCCCCGCAATTTGGGGAATTCGCCACAAATTGACAACACTATGAGTGTTGCCCATTTATTTTGAGCAATTTATCTATAAAGAATAACATTAACAACAAAAGAGGAAATGTAATAAAAAAATACAATTGTCATATTGTCATATTTTTATTTCCGTACTTTTAGAAATAAAACGTACTCTAGAAAAAACGGTTTCTTTTCATGTTTTTTTCATTGTTTTTTTTTTCAGCTCAGAAAAAAATCAGAAGAATCTTTCGTGAATTTACCATAATATAAATTAGATACTTACATATGAGTTCGTTTAAGTTTCCTATGTCTCTGCCGCGGATACAGCTAGGAGCTTTTTGTATGATCCAGCGAGCGAGCGGGCTGCTAGTACAAGCAATTCTTTTCGTGACACCCCCGTTAAAGCTTCTTGCCATTGCGTGTGGGGCACCTGAGAAAAATAAATTAATTCATTCATAATCAGTAAAAATAATATAAAAATATTCAAAATGGCGATCAGAAACAACTATGGCGACAACAAAATGGCGACCGAAAAAAGGATGCATTTTAAATTTTTCGTTTCAAAAGTTGTTTTTTATTTTAATGCCTCTAAATGAAATCGCTGACCATGAACATAAAAGCATAATGCAGTTAAGCTGAAGACCGAACTTCAGCGGTGAGTGAAACGAAGCCCAGGGAGTCCGCAAGTCAAGCCGGGTAGGTCCTCACCACAAAAGTCGTACCTTATGAATTAGTATAGATAATATGAATATACTTGTAAGCTAGCAGCCATAATAGATCCAATAGTAGTGCTATATCCAGTCTGCGAATGTGAGTAGTCGGAGGGGGTGCCCGCTTGCGCCGCGGCAACAGCCGCTGTGGGTACAGGGGTGCTCTGTGACTGCAATTGCAGTTCTATGCCCAGTGACGGCTGCGATAACACAAGGAGAGCTACATCGTACCACCTGCAGAGAGGAAACACATCCCATCAATAAACTTAACTTTTTTTTAGGGTCACAATCGCCCCATATACGGGTGATTTGTCTTCACAGTCTGTCGTTTCAATAAACGACGAATCTATGTATGTATGTGTGTATGTCTTATGTCGTTAGCATTTAAGTTAAACGCCAGGGAAGTTTCGATCGATGAATCGTCTGTATACGGGAGCCTTTATTGAAAAGAAAAGATTCCGGTAGAGTAGCGTAATTGGGACGACACTTGCCTCTCATGCAGAAGGTTTAAACAAATTAATGGATGAATTAATTAATAAAACACTGGTTTTAGGAGAGAAGGCTGAAGGGGCTGTTGTTCGTAAATCGGTTGAATCATCGTGTTGGAAAAATTAGTCAGTCTATAGTTATAGATTTGAAATTTTTAGAGATGTAGTGATGTAAAATCGAATGAAAAAAAGACGATTTCAATATCTTATCAAGATAATCTACAACGAAAAGAAAATAGATTTAAAATAATTTAAGAACAAATAATAAACAAAATAAAAAGGATTTAATTATTATGTTATTAAGTTACTAAAAAAGTATACAACAAATACAAAAATCAACAACTAAATAAAATGGGAACAACAAAGCATAAATTCAGCAGCAACAAAATGAAATTTGAACAATGACTCCAAAAACACCACGCAAAACTTAAAAGAAAACGACTCGCATACAAGATATAAGGCACCCATATAGACACGAGAATATAATTGCCGATTCGATTTATCGATTCCATGGTGTAATCTCTATGGACAAATATTCCGTTTTACGCATTAAGTACATACTTAATGCGTAAAACAGCAATTTATTTTCGTCTGCCTGTCATTCCTTTTTCTATCTACTTAATTTACTGTAATATTTACTTAAAACAAGTCTAAAAATTATTTAAAAAAACAATAACCCGACTGCAAAAATATTTAGCTGGAAAGACACAACAAATTTCCGCCTCACTATTTTGATTATTTTTTATAGCCTATGACACTCCCGCAATCAAGATGAATCTAACGACACCACCTCATAATAATATGTCAAAATCCATTAAGCCGTTTAGGCTACAACATGAAAATGAATAGGACATATATACATACATACATTTGAAAAATATAAACCTCATGCAGTCGGGTAATTACAATTGCAACAAACATTGTTTGGTATATTATTAACCAATTTACTATTTCTTTTTGTAATCTGGTTGAGAGATTAGTTATAAATAGTATGCGTGTAACGTAAAAATTTTAAATGTCACAATACCCACCCTATGTAAAATAGACTATAGGCACTGCGTTAGGAGGCTCTTTCCATGTACCCAAAACTCCTAAAACCAGCTCTGGTTATTATCTAAATTAACATGAATTACATTATTATAATTTATATTGTCTATATTGTTACCTTTTTTAAATTATATCGACTCTAAAAACGTCTAATGTGCATTTGGAAAATATTACAGGAGAGCGATTTAAAGTAATGTTTTTAAGAAAAAAAATCAACTCTAATTATATTTGTTATATGGAAAACCAGAAAGTTTCAGTTTTTCCATGTAAAAAACAAAATTCGAGTTACGATTTTTTTTAATTACTTTAAATCGCTGTCCAGTATAATTTTCCAAATACACGTTAGACGTTTTACTCCCGTTCACACGGCATTGTATTGCACCTTTTTGCAGTATAAGTCTTACCGAATAAATAGTGGCGCATACATTAGATATAGAACCGTTTACACAGTGTTTATCCTGAAAAAAAAACGCACACAACTCTATACGTTTATCGAATACGCAACGGACTTGTCAAGAAAATCGAATGAACTTTAACGTATTCGGTGTGCAGTGACGCATAGTATTAATGCATCTCTTTCACGCAGCGCGAAGTCATACGTTTTTATCGAATAGTCACAAAAACAAGTGGCGTCTATTGAAGTATCTTTTGGAAGCAGGGCACGTATAATTTTAATGACCCGGCGATTTATTTATTAATGTTTTTAGTGGAACAAAGGCCCGTTTTGTGGGACAAAACTGCGGAATTGTATAAACCCAATACCTTCTGTTCTTCCGGCGGCAATGCCACTTCTATTATTTTATGCCTATTTAAAAGTGCGACACAGCGTGGATCCATCACAAACAAACGTGTTCTCAGGGCGATTGCTGTGTGAATACTGCGGTTATCCGTTTATAAACTAAAACTTTAAAAAACGTGCAGGACAATGCCGTGTGAAACCAAGGCTTAGTTTTCCAGGGTCGATATGTAGATTTACTACTTATACGTAATATACATCGATCCAAATAATCGCTTTTGTTCTGTTATAATTTTTAAATATCATATTTTATATTCTTGCCATTGCATGATGCAGCGACCTTTAAGAGTAGAGGCACTGCACTCTATGTATCATTATTTAACGTGTAGTGTTTTCTATGTGGAATGTCTTAAATAAATAAAATACCTGTCGCTAACAGCCTCGTGTAGAAAACTTTCAACAGCAACAATGGGCACGTTGTTATTAAGTTCTACGTGCTGCGATCGCAATTGCGCGATGCGTTGTTTCGCTGCCGCGTACGCCGCCGCGTAGCCGACAGGCTGGTCAGCAGTTACATCACTTTGCGCTGGGATACCTCTGAAAATAACCCGTCACATTTTCGTTACGCAAAGGCCTGATAATATTATAGCTGGTGATTTTTTATGATACCTAGTGACGGGCCGAACAAGTCGTGGGCCTGATGTTAAACGACACGCCGGTGCCACTCAGTGATTTATCGCAAAGATCTGAGGGACATTGCCGCTGCACCTGTCACCCTGTATTTTTTGCGTTCTGGGTGTTTGCGTGGTTTTGGAAAGTAAGGGTGCTGGTGAAATTATTGCCACATGGGCCTTGTCAACTTATGTCTCAGGCGGGCGCACTGGCAGTGCCCCTTAGATTTTTGCTCTCTGAGTGGCACTGCAACTGTTATGAACAGGTGTGTAGCTTACCATCAGGCGTATGACTTGTTCGTCTCGTCACTTCATATTAAAAAAAAAAACTTTAGCTAAAAACAGTTTTTAAATTCCCGATACAATTGTTTTGTATCCTGATACAAATGTCCGAACGAAATTACATGATAATCATATACTACACGCTTAGTGTGAGCCAGACGACAAGATATCTCTTTTTCATTCTATTTAAGATCTCTATAATGATGTCACTATGAGCTATCTCTACACGCGCGAATGGGGATTGCCAGACTAGAGTCATCGCGCAAATAAATTGACCCCTCCTACGGTATGTTGACATTGCCAAGTTTACAGGGGAGCCTTAAGTTTGAACACACCACAGGTCGGTGATCTCGCGCGCTAGGTCGTGGTTATTATTATTATTATTATTGTGTATAATAAAAAGCAATTGGGTAACGGCATTTCTTCTATTGCTACTTAGAGAAATCTTTAGCAACGGTAGAGAGTGTATCTTTCGTGCTTTAAATAGCACTATAGTCGTTAGAGCTGTGGTTTGTTGTTTGTTGTGGTTTGTTGTGGTGGAAGGTTTCTCAGGCCTATAAGAATTACACAGCAGACTAAAAAGCAGTAAGCCAATAATTATCATAAAACTCACACGATGGTTGCTTTTCCGAACACATGCTGAAAAGCCTCGCGGATTGGTGAGATTTTGACGTCTTTATCTGAAGCCACTACGATGTAAATGTCGCCACCGCTCTCTGGAAGTACGTTTATTGAATGAGCAAATTTTTTAATAAAACGCAAACACAATCCCATAAAAAATAATTTTTGAAGTTCTTCATTCACTTACGAGATTTGTGTAAATGAACATAATTATATACTTAGAAAAATTAATTCGATCCGGTTGGATTCTAACCAGCACCCTCAAGCAATCCGTGCCAGACGCTCTGCCAATTGTATATAAATATAATCTATATTAAGGAGTAGAATTGAATGAAATGAATGAGTTTCATACTCAATTTTGCACCATGTTCGTATCTCATTTAATATCTGATACAAATACTTACTAAGATACTCCTTCATTTGCGGATCCAAAGTAGTAATCATAGAGTCAACAGAATTCTTGGCCTTTTCGGCGACCCTGTGTAGTATACCACCCGTAGAGACAGCTCCCTTCACCCACGTGAATAAACCACTGCCTGGCATTATATCACCTGTAGGATACATAAATCAACAATCAATATCACATCAAGTGGGGACTGGGTAATGTTCTTTAGGACTAATGGGCAAGCATTTAACCACAATGGTGTGGTCCAGGATACTTGCCTAGAAAGTGCCTACCCACTTTTGTTTTAAAAAGGCCCGACATATTACTTTGGTGGTAAATTTTTAATTAAATGGATGTGTGTTTATATTGCAAAACTATTTCAAGGTCATAGCTGAGCCAAAGGATCCTGAGCAGACTAGAAGCGTCTTATGTATGTAGTTTTACAATTATACTAGGGAACTAACTTTAATCCTAATTAACCAACTTCAAAAAAGAGGTATTTGTATGTATGTTACGCGATAACTCCAGCTCCATTTGAAAACTGACATTGAGGATTCTTTTTTTGTTGGAAAGAGGGTACCTCAATAGTGGGCAAATTTAAATTTGAAGAAAAAATTCCACTTCTAAGGGTGGCAAACTACTTTCCGGTAACCAATGTCAATAAAACTTGGCAAATAGATGTAATTCCACGAACTTTTGAGGTCGGTTTTCGCCCTACGGTCGGCGCCCTACGGTGAGTGGTAGGCCAAAGGGAAAACCCCAAGGTCAGCCGAACACCGATGTTGGTGCTAGCACTACACCAGTGGTAGTGGCCCAAACCCTAGGTTCTGCGGTCCCCGCTCACACATCGGGTTCTGCATTACAGAACCCCTCAAACACGGCCCTTGAGGCAGGGTGGACCCTGGTGAGTCACCAGCCCAAATCCAAGGCTACGGCACCCATCCGTAAGGAGGGGACAAGTGGCCACGGCGAACGTCCAGCCCCCAGTGTGAGCAGAGGACGCCCTGCCCGAAAAAACAAGAAAGGCTGTCGAAGAGAACGCGAGCGTCGCAATGTAAACAACCCTCTGCCGAAGGAGGGAGAGGCAAGGCCCCAAGTGGGTAGCGCGAGGGGCCCAGGGACTGTATTAACACGATCAAATGGGTCGGGGGACCCCCAGGACCTTCCAGGGTCCCCCCTGGAAGGGTCCCCCTCCCTTCTAACAGCAAACCGGCAGAGAGCATGCAGAAGGTCCTCGACCATTGCCAAACGTGCCCGCTTTGACGAGACAACATCTCCTAGAAGCGAGCACAAGCGGCAAAAGGTTGAGAGGCCCGCCCAGCATCGAACCTACGCCGAGGCCACCAGGCCAGAACTCATGGCGGTGATCACATCAGCCAAAACTGACTACATACGGAGCCCCGATGCCGACATGATTCAGGTGGCACTATGTCAGCGCCTCGCGCAAGGAGCGGAGAAGTTCGGCGAGGATTACGTCGGCCCACAGTTTCGAGGTAAACCTGTCTACAGTGGCGGGTCCCTGAAACTGTGGTGTCAGGTCACAGCCACTTTCCAGTGGCTAGAGGATGTCATTAGCAACTACAGGCTGCCATCCGGGGAGCTCCACTCATTGAAAAATGTGGTGGAGGCTCTCCCCGAAGGGTGGTCTGCGGACTACTCATCCCTGGCCATTGGGATGTGTGTGACAAGTGGCAAAACCCGTGGGCGAAGGCTCACCGCTGGGTTGTTCACAAGCTGCAGCAGCATAGTGAACACTCCTTCGTAGTGGTGAGCCTCCCAGAAGAACTCGTCCCCGCTGTCCTGGGGCATGGCCGGCGCCTAGCCAGTTGGGCACGGTCTACCTCAGGTTCATGTGCCACCTAAGAAGACGGGCACAACAACGACACGGATGGACGTCTCCCCGGCGCCCTCCACCTCCTCTAATATCCCCGGACCCTGAAGGGCCCTCCTTGACCACCGTCTCTGCGGACGCCGCTGACAAACCGGTGGCGACCAGCAGTGATGACAAGTGCGTGTTGAGGATGAGAGACATCCGACTGAGCGAGGACGTGGACGAGGAGCTGCTATCTTCTGAAGGCGGTTTCCCCCTCGCTCAGTAAACTTCCCATCGTCCAGAGCAACTTCCACCACAGCCAGGCCGCAACGGTTCAGCTCCGGAAGTGGTTGGAGGATAACAACACAGCCATGGCGCTAATCCAGGAACCGTGGATTAGTGCCCGTGAGCTTTTAGCTGACGCGGGGCACGGGCCTGCCTGAAGTGGTGCTCGCCTCTGTCTATATGGCGGAGACTGATGTGCCACCACCGCAGGAAATGGTACAGCTAATCAACTACTGCGAGCAGAACGGCCAGAATATCGTCGTGGCTACTATCTCCAATGCCCACCATCCATTGTGGGGCACGGAACTCGCAAATGATAGAGGTAAGAACCTAACTGAATATTTATTCACAACTAACCTTCAAATCCTTAATAAAGGAATAGTGCCAACTTTTATAAATAAAAGATGTAGAACTATTATAGATCTAACCCTAGCGTCAGAAGGAGCATTGAACCTTATCCACAACTGGCACGTGTCCGAAGAAGCATCTTTCTCGGACCACAGATGGATAAGATTCAGCTTAGAAACAGCCATCAAAGAACAACAACCGAAACGAAATCCCCGAACAATCCATCGTAAACTATACACGGACAAACTACACCAGAGGAAGACTGCTGGACACAGCGCAGATAGAAACACAAGTTAAAGAACTAATATCATACATATTGAACAGCTATAACTCCGCATGCCCACTGAGTGACTCAGCCCCGCGACAAGGCCAACACTGGTGGGGGCCTGAGCTTGAGAGGCTACGAAGAAGGATAAGGAGACGCTTCAATAGAGCAATGAACATATGCTCGGATGAGGACTGGGAAAACTACAACAGCTAAATCCAAACTAAAAAAGCGCATACGGTTCAGGAGCACCGCGTCATGGCGAGGCTACTGCGGGAACATCACGTCTTGTGCACAAGCAAACAGAATAAGAAAAATCCTAGGAAACTCAAATTCAACTGAGCTAGGTTCAATACGCAAAATAGACAACACATACACAACTTCCCATGCGGAAACAGAAAGAACCCTAGTGGAAGCACATTTCCCAGGATGTAGGTTCGTCCAAGACGACAGATGTGTAGAAATGAACTACATCACATCGATCCATAACTGGCGATACGCTGAACAAGTACTAACATACGAAAAGACAAAATGGGCAGTAAACACCTTTGAACCGTACAAAGCTCCGGGCCAAGATAGAGTATTCCCTGCACTTCTAAAATGGGGCGGGGACACACTGGTCCAGCACCTGGTCAACATCTTTCAGGCCTGTCTAGCATTCAGCTATGTGCCCCACAGCTGGCGAGAGGTAAAAGTCATATTTATACCGTAACCAGGAAAACCCGACTAGACTGACGCGAAGTCCTTCAGACCAATCAGCCTCACATCATTCTTCTTGAAGACATTAGAAATGTTATGTGACAGAGAACTGAGGGATGGAGCGCTCAAGAACATACCATTACACAGAAACCAACATGTATACAGCCAAGGCAAATCAACTGAATCGGCCCTACATGCCGTTGTGGGCAAGATAGAAGTGGCCCTCAAAGACAAAACAATCTGCCTAGGCACCTTTATAGATATTGAAGGAGCCTTCGATAAAACCAACTTCTCCAGCATACAATCAGCACTGAGAAGACACGAAGTAGATGAAGTGCTAATTAGCTGGATTAGTAACATGCTGAAACAAAGAACAATAAAAACAACAGCAAATGAGACCCCATGGGCCATAAGAGCGAAGGGGTTCCCTCAAGGAGGGGTACTGTCTGCTATTGAACATGGTCGTAAATGACCTCATCATTAAACTAAACAAAGAAAATTTTGTACAGTAGGATATGCTGATCACATAGCTATACTGGTAACAGGAAATTATGCCAATACACTCTGTGTAATGACACAAGCTGCTCTCCGGATTGTAGGAAGATGGTGCAGAGCATACGAACTATCGGTAAACCCAACAAAGACGGAACTAGTAATGTTTACAAACAAAAGGCTACTACCTACTACCCAAACTCTTCAGTACAGAACTAAAGATATCAACCGAAGTCAAGTACTTGGGAGTAATACTGGACAACAAGTTGAACTGGAACAAGCATCTGGACAACAAAATTAAAAAAGCTACTATCACCTTCTGGCAGTGCCATAGTATGGTAGGTAACAATGGGGACTTTCACCCAAGATAACTCTATGGCTCTACACAGCGATGGTAAGACCCATGATCAGTCACGGCGCGACAGTATAGTGGCCACGAACCAAACTGACGACCGCAACCGACAAGCTGGACAAATTCCAAAGACTCGCTTGCATGGCGACGACCGACTACATGAGGACAACTCCAATTGCGGCCCTCGAAGCAATGCTGGACCTGCGATCCTTCCCACTGTTCATCAGACAGGAAGCGGCGTCAACAGCAGTGCGTCTAAACAAAGCCGGCCTTTGTAAGCACATGAGGACCCCATACACAGAAATCCCTTATAAGACTGTCAATGAGGAACCGCTACTGGAGACGGCTGTGGATAGGATCCCAAAACAATACATCTTTGACAAAAAATACAAGATACAATTGTTTGAAGATCCCAATGAAGGACTGAACCCCAGAGAGGTCCGAGTCTTCACTGATGGATCTAAAACAAATTCAGGAACAGGTCCTGGAGTATTCTCTGAAGAAGACCACAACACAGTATTCCAGGCTGAATGCATAGGCATCAAGTTGGCGGCAGAAGCAATCATAGCGAGAAGAGTAAACAATCACTCCATTTTTATACTCTGTCAGTATGTCAGTACTTCAAGCACTGAACAGCTATGACATAAACTCAGGGCTCATTTACGAATGCCATCAAGCACTCATGGAGGTATGTATACAAAATCATGTAACTCTACAGTGGATTAAATGACACAGCGGCTCACGTGGCAATGACGCAGCAGATGAACTAGCCAGAAAAGGGTCGGAGACGGACGCTGTAGGTCCAGAACCCTAGTGTCCCTCCCCTACCAATGGTCTAGAACAACTATACACAAAGGTACAAAATCTTCACATAATAATACAACCACCCTTACGGTTTGTAGACAGGCGAGGGAAGCACTCCCAACGCTCAATGCAAGTCTATCTCGAATAGTAATTAAACTTAAAAGGCAAGAGCTTCGCACTCTAACTGCCGCCCTAATGGGTCATGGTCCATACAATAAACACCTTGGAGTGCCAAGGTCGCTCCCTGAAGTCTTCAGCAAACCGAGGAGGCTGTTGAGATTCCTGGCGGAGCTTGGGTGCCACGAGTAGGACCCTGCACCCACCACACGCAAAATAGGCGCCTTGACATCGAGTCGCGGATACCAGCCCATTACACCAAGAGGTTGGTTTTTTAGTACTGTACTGAGATTATATTGCTGACAAAATTATTTTAAACCCTAAAACTGGTGTTGATTTTTGACATTGTGCAGGTATCAGCAGAAGATCTTGTTCTTAAATTTTCGCAAGATGGCAGGGGCCATATCAAACTTGCAAGCTTTTAATTAATTTAATTTAGTTTAATTTCTGATGTAGCTGTTAAACAAAATGTATTGTAATAAAGTTTACATGCATTAATATGTGTACAGGAGTTCCTTAACAATATTAATTGAGCCAAAGTCACTCCTAGAAGTCTTTAGAGATTCTTGGAGAAACTCAAATGGGAAGAGTAGGACCCTGCACCCACCACATGCAAAATAGGCGTCTAGATGTCAAGTTGCGGACATCAGTGCGTTACACCATACCAAGTATACAGTGTAGAAAATTAAATGTATACCTAATTGATCAATGTCTGGTGTCGAGTCTGGGAAAGATTCAGGCGACTGTGTGTTCTGAGAATCTTCAGGGGATCTTATTGGAAGCATCGGCTCCCCTTTGCTTAAAGGGATTGCAGGACTGAAAAAAGTAATCAATAATTTAGAAGGGAACATTTATCATCTTGATTACTAAGTGACGGCTAAGTTGAATAAATACTTATAATCCAAATACAGTTACGTTCCAAACATAAATAGAAAGTAATATTATAAATAAAGACTTTAGAAAAAAATTTACTTCTAGTTACAAAAATATCAAAATTATGCTTTGGGTTTAAAAACATTCTCTAAAAAAAAATAAAAAAACTCTAAAAAAATAGTTAACAGTCAATTACGTCTGAAATCATCAAAAAACCTTGGCCATCTGTGGGATTTATTGCTTGTAAGTTGATGGTATTTTTATTTATTGTGAAATTATAATAATTATTCCAAACTCAATATTCACCTAAATGTCTCCATATCTTGTGACTGTTGTTCCACTGTGGGTTGCACTAGGACTGGCTGAATAGGCAATGAATCTGAATCTACAGCTGGTGCCTGTTTGTGAAAAATATAACATACAGTTTTATATACTGTACTGCAATTTTCTCATAAAACCTAAAATAAAGCTTGAAACTCATAAAGATAAAAAGTTTCAAAGCATTAATTGCTTTCAAAAAGCTGTCTTTATAGGTCTCAGTTTATCGGCCTAAGGAATAAAATGCAATTGTTCTCTTTAATGGCCCAAAATGCAAAAAATTAAGTTTAAAACTCAAATCAAAGTCGTCTTGGATAACATTAGAAAGCTTGTCACGTTTAATTAATGACTTTTTATAAATATACGTCTTATCAAAGCAAGCTGCCTAATCGACGAAAAATTTACCGAATCACTAGGAATTGACGAAGTCACTTGAGGCACAGCAGTAGTCGCAGTTATAAAGTTTGGAAGCTCTAAAGGCGGCCCCACACTTGACAGAAGGTTGCCGGAGATCCCTGCTGGAACCGGTGCATCGGGAAATTTGCCTTTGTTGTTCATTCTAACACCAAAACTGCAACCGTGGACACAAACTTTACCGTGTAAAACTTACGCGATAAACCAACTAGACGCTAGCAAATTATTAACAATATTTGGTTAGATATTTTATGTTTGGTACAATAAAAAAAATTAAATAGTAATTACATTTTATCTATTTCCTTTACAAAAACAAAACAAAATTTGTTTTCTTCCTTCTTTCAAAATCTTTTGGAATTTGACAGGTTTGACCTGACAAAACGCTGACAGCTGATAAGCAAGTTGCTACTTAATTGACGTTTATTTCTACCAATTTCGCCACGTCATCGTCATCTTTGTATGATTTCAAAGAAAACTTTTTTTAAAGATTTCCCAGTCATTATTGTGAGTTGCATGGTTACTTTTAAATCTTTCCATGGAGGAAAGATTTAAAAGATTAAGATTTAAGATTCTCTCTTTGTAAAATAGGAACCAAGATGAAAATTATATTAAATATATTACCAAATTGTAGGGCTACTACTACTAAAAAACTACTAAAAACGTAGAAATCAAACTAATTGACGATGTTTCGTTTCATTGCTTCCATTTTACAAATGTTAAAAAGAATGAAAGAGAACACTAATCCGAAAAGAAAAAGAAAATTGCCTTATTTTTCTACTTCTCACAAAATACATCAATATTTTTAGGAAAACTTGTCTCGATTTGAAGACGTCACAAAAATCCGTCATGTCATTTGACATTCTGTCAAGGCATCATTCATATCGGCAAGTTATCTCGCTGTTTTCAGAATTTTGATTAGAAGTTTGTGCATTGTTTCGTTTAATTGCTCACGACCGTATTTAAAATCGTCTTGTGAAACATGTCGGAGGGGTCTGAGACTCCGCTGTTCAGTTCTGTGAACGTCAACAATGAAAAGAGGGAAGATGAAGATCTTTTTGCTTCTGCGGTCCAGGTATCTTAATAGAATCCTGTTTTATAAACTAGCTGTGCCTGCGTCCGCCCCGGGCGCTCGTCCGGCACGCGCGTTAACGCCCCTTTATGTATTAATAAAGCCTATAATCGTTCTATAACCTGAACGAAATTCTTTGGCGTTACTATCATAAAAATGGGTGTAAATTGGAATAATTAGCGCTTTCATAAACACTTATCCTGCAATTTATTGGCGATAAATAAACCTCCGAAAAGTTTTTATTGTTCTGTTATCAGTCACTAAAGGTTATGACTACTACTTTGATAATTGGTAAGCCAGTAGTACTTCTACAATGGTTCAAAATGAACGAAGTTTCTATTTATCCAAGGTTAAACGTGTTTTCGACACTACTATTGACTTACAGTATGTATGTATTCTATATGCTAAACAGTTGCATTGTATAACATAATAATACATGTATTTCAAATTGCACTTTATTTAGAACATGATACAGTTGTTTATGCTTCTGTCGTAAATAACTTTTCTTTCTTTGCACATAAAGACTATAATATACAGCCTGGAAAATACTAGTTAAATATTGTATATAAAAATAGTAACAGAACGGAATTTATTAAATGAGTCATAATCAGAACAGCAAGTAGGTACATTTCATTTATTTTTCCTGTTATTCAATATGAAATTGTTAACATGAATATGTGTTTACATTAATTATTGGAGTACCAGTTCATTCAGTGTAACTTATTTCTGTGTTAAATAAAACTTGTAAAAATAGAATTAGTGAAATACTATACATTATATAAACTAACAAAAACAACTTGAAATTATAATTCAAATCAACAGTAAAGCAGAATGTCCTGCCATCCAGCAATAATATCCTTCTATTGTACCACTAAAATCTCAATTGTGAGCTATAATCTTATCAAACAGGAGGTGAGCTTGGACCCAGAAGTGAATGGTGCTAGAGATGGAATAGAGAAAGTTAATATTGGAAATACACCTACTATAAATGCAGGAATAAGCAGTCCCATTATGGAGGAGGTATGAGAAAACCCTTTTTAACTAGATTTGTTTATTAGAGAGTAGGACAGCAGAAGTTGGTTGGCATGGTATATGTACAAGTGTCAGAAACACTCAAGTACCTTTTGGGTCCTTAAATGTTGGTGCTAGCATGGACTTTTGACATCTCTGTATAACAGTGGGTATGTAAACGAACTATTCAATCAGCACTATTCAGCCTATATATATTGTTGTTTATAACACAACACTGAATTATCATATGTTCGTAAATATTCAGAAGACTTATTTTACAAATAACAAAGAGGTTTATTTATCTATAATGACATAACAATTTTGTCTTAAAGAACATTGTTATATATATATAGTACAGTTACATTGTGTTATGTTGATAAGAAGACAAGAGTCTGTGCATAAGGTGTTTGTTTCCCTAGACTTTCGGTGAAGCCATCTGTTTTTATGACAGGAGTTGTATGATTTTTGTTATAATACTAACACGGAACAAACAAGTTGTGTGTCTGGTGGTAAGCGACACATCTATCCATAGCAGTTGCAGTGCCATTCAAAGCTTTAATCGGAAAGATCTGAGGTGTACCTTTGCGCCCGGCACTCTAAGACCTAAGTTGGTAAATCCCAGGATGCAACTCAACTAACACCAATGAAATTAACACTGAACCGTTATCCTTATTTGTAATATATTTCGTACATTAGATTTCAAACAATGACAACTCACAAACTTTACAATGCATTTTTGTAAAGAGAGTTTTATGGAAACTGGCAAATATGTGGGGCGCACCATAAGTTTCCGGAATGAATAAGAAAAAAATAGTGTAAAGTTCAGAAACGAATTTATTGTTTCTCAAAATATTCTCCATTAGTATTAATGCACTTCTTCATACGAATGAACCAATTTTGAAAACATTTATGCAACTCCTCCATGACAATCTCTGAAACATATTTTTCATACTCTTTGACAGCCTCTTCAGGTGATGAAAATCATTCACCGCGTAACTGTTTCTTAATTTTTAGAAATAAATAAAAGGTGCCAGGTCGGGACTTTACGCGAGATGGCTCATAAGGTCAACGTTGTTCACCTTCAAAAATTCATTTGTCTGTCTGGCCGTGTGAGAATTGGCATTATCGTGGTGCAAGATGATATGCGTTTATGGTTATTTTTACGGAGTTTGTCAATAACTTCCAGCAAACAAATTGTCGTGTACCAATCACTGTTCACGGTACAACGATTCTCCAAAGCAAGTCACGTGTTCAGTTTTATTAATAAAAGAAGCAATCATCTGCATAGACGCACTTTGCACGCGCGCCACTTTGGTTGGTTTCGGCTCATCTTGAAAGACCCATACTCTGGATTGCTGCTTTGTTTTGGGATCGTAACTATAATTCCATGTTTCGTCACCTATTGTTGTTACTATGTCCCACACCAAGTTTGACGCCCCTTCGTTGAATCTGGTAAGCATGGCATTGCACCAAGTGACGCGATCCGTTTTTTGAGCCTCAGTCAAATTGTGTGGGATCCACCGAGAGCACAGCTTTTTCACACCCATATGTTTGTGTAGTATTGATTGAATTTGACTCATGCCTATGCCTAAAGATGCCCGAATCTCATGGATGTCACATGCCTGTCTGTTTTGATCATACGACGCACAGCATCGATATTTTTGTTGTTCACAGCAGTGGACGGGCGACTATCACGAAATTCGTCAATGAGGTTCACACGACCGCGTTTGAATTCTGCAAACCAGCTATAAATAGTCGTCTTACATGGTGCTTCATCGCTAAAAGCAGTTTGAATCCGAGCGAAGCTCCGCTGAGCAAATTACACTTAAAGTCGTAGAAAACCATACTACGAAAATTTTCACGAGTTAAATTCATGGTGATGTAGACAACCAATTTCTAAAATGACGCCACAATGTAAAAACAAGTGACAGTCAGAAGAAACAAACTGTACTCTACAGCCAAAAAGTTCCATTTTCAAATGTTGTAATTTTTAAATATTGTTTATGTAAGTATCCAATTCCGGAAACTTATAGTGCGCCCTATGTGTGTTTAGATATAAAAAAGTCTTTAATCTGGTGGTACGTAATTTTAAATATTAATCTGTAAGTCAACTTTCAAAATAATTATTTTAATACGGTTATATAAAATAATCTGAAACCTATACATTAACACCTGATACAACAACCTATACAACAACATTCAGATATAAAAGTCGTACATAATCTTAACTAAATATTAACTTTATACCTGAACGTTAATTGAAAAAAAAAATGTTAATACATGATGAGCTAGAATTTTGAAGTTAGTTATTTGTAGGTACGCTAAAACTTTAACTAAAAAAGAACATCTGCATTTACCTTCACAGTGCGCTTAACCTCCGTCCGTACTCTGAAGCCTTCATCCACTACAACTGTAGAGCATGAGAGCTCCACAGAATTCTGTGGATTACCTGATCCTAATTTCAAGATTAGCTGAGCAACCTTCTTTTGTATTTTTGTGTTTTTTGGATTTGGTTTTCACATTTCAATACTCAATACTTGATTGCCTACCATAATGTTATACACAAGGTGGTACCATAAATTAAAAAAAGAATCTGTTACACTAATTCTAACTCTGTTCTATTTACTAAACACTTACGATTATTACAGGTATATATTGCTAAATGTATTTTTTTTAAATTGTAATAACAGCATAATAATTATTTCATAATAATATAATTTATTAAATATTATTGTCTATATTTCTCATTTACAAGAGGCAATAAATATAACTTTTATCGACTATTATTGTAGTGCCTAATAGTGTGTTCAATAGTTATTCTTATAATATCATTCTAATTTCTGATGATATATTTTTTTTCAATATCGATCTACATTTATAAATGCTAACCTAAATAAAAGTAACTGCCAGATATGTTTAAAAAACAGAGAATGTTCCATGATTCATGTACTTTGTTACCGATTAATCACTATACGCAATGTTATGGCGTAGTATAATACAACAGTTATTGTATTCGCGTTACTGACATTCTAGATTATTTATCGTATGTTAGTTTATATATGTGTATCTGTTTTATAGTCACTTCTTCGTTTCGTCGATTTTATGGTTTTATCATTGCATTCATGATCTTGTCATGTCACGATGGTAAAAACTAGCGAAGGTTGTTTTTGTTTTTTTTTGTTTTATTTACACTATTCATTAGTTAGAATGACAAAAAAGGCATGAAAAAGTGTTAGCCTTGCCAGAATGGAATAGTGAACGGTCGGTGTTTGCTGCTGACTCTAGTGAAAGTATTTCCTATTTCAAAGCAAATGCATGACGTTCATCAAAGCAGTAAATAAAATATACTTCAAGTTCCAGGCGTTTATCGTCCTAATTAATTTCCATTAATAATTGATACCCTTAAGGTAGTCACCACATTTAAAACGGAATCGACTTGAGCCGGTTAGGAAAAGCTTCATGTCCAGGCAACGGCTTTACCTGTAGTGCAGGGTGTCCGGTGCACACGGGCGGGCGCAGGGTCTTAGGGGATGCAGAGAGCAAACGAAGTAAACGGGGTATTGCTTCCCAACATCATTTATAATTGCACCATTTGCACCCAAATTTCCGACCACTGGGGAAAATGTAACCGCAAGTATTCCATTTTGATCACGTGCCCACTAGAGGATGCTATGGTATTTATATATCAGGGAATTGCACCCGGGCGCTACATGGGCTCGCGCCGGCGCTGATGTAATAAGAGAGAAAACTACGTTGTGTTTGTGGTATGCCCTAATCAAAATAGGATAAGAGGACGGAAGTTCGAAGATAAGCGACTTACTAAGTACACAAAAACTGTATTTTTTTTTACTATAATCCATGATCTTTCGTCATGTCGCAAAAACTGTATTTTTTACCAAAGTATGACATTTCTTCTAAATTCCAGATAGCAACCGAGCGTGCGAACAATATAATAATAACGGTGACAGAGCCTCAAAAAATCGGCGAAGGCATGAGCTCATACGTCGCATACCGGGTTCTCTCCAAAACCAATATGCCTATATTTAACAAACACGAATTTGCTGTACATAGGCGCTTCAGTGACTTCCTAGGCCTACATGAGAAAATGACCGAGAAGTACCTGAGATCGGGCAGGATAATCCCACCTGCACCCGAAAAGAGTATTGTAGGTAAGTGTTGATTTGTTATTAAGGCGGCTTTTAGCTTTTTTGCAGAATGTACATATCTAATTTCTCTCTTTCTCTCTGTCTCTATAGGAAAAGATACGTAATAGGTATTTTTTATTTTAGAATATATATCCTCAAACCAATTGTTATTGTCGTGGCTTAGGCCAATTTTTCAGAGCAATGTATTTACTATTTAGCGTGAAGCGGCCATGCGCTGAAGTCTAATTTATATTGAATTAGGATTTCAAATGTCTATGTTAAAATACTCTTCCGGACACATAATCTGGCTCGCCACCTCGCAAGTTTTCCCCAGGTTTTGCAAATCCAAATTTAAACAACCACATTTTCAGTAATTGGCAAAAATGTGCTTGATCCCTAAACACTTTATGTATGTATACAGTTATCTACGAATTTTATTAAAATTAATTATGATTCGAAAAAGTAATTAATTAATATTTAGTGCTTTTAAACACCCCATGTCACTCTTGGTGTCTATATATTTTTTTTATAATATGAAGTGACGGGACGAGCAAGTCGTATGCCCGATGGCAAACTACACGCCTGTCTATAGCAGTTGCAGTGCCACTCAGAGCTTTATCACAAAGATCTGATGAGGGCATTTGTCTGCTCATTTGGAACACGCTATTGCGATCATTGCTTATTATCTAGCAACAGTAGTAGTCGCCTCCTCAGCGTAGACCTTCCCTATCGTCTTCCATAATTCTCTTTTCCTGGATTTTGTCATCCATTCTGCCCTCCTAACTGAGAGTGCAGTAACTAAGTCAAACCTGTTTTCGAGAAAAACGTGGTTAAAGAAAATAATTTAAAATTTACTCTAGCTTCAAAACTACGCAAGTTACAGCAACATGGCATATATCAATAGAAAGGTAAAAGAATGAAGAATTGTAAGGTAACATATTTACATTATGTATATTAAGGGTGTAAAACATAAATAAAATAAGTGCAGCAACTATTAGATACTGCGATTATTGCTAGAATTCCATCGCCGTTGACTCAAAAATTATATAATAACTAATCTTACTGCAGTCTAAATTAGCAAATGTTATACATTGTAGTAAGTTACTGCAGTTTTACTTCCTGTATTACAGTGTTCCGATGGGAATTTTGATACGTGAGTTAGAGCCAAATATAGATCTTGTTTTGGTGTTAACGATTATTCATTTAACTCAATTTCGTCAAAAATGCTAGTTACTGCACTTTCAATTAGGACGGCAGCATTGTGGTCCTTCATTTTCTATAAAAGTGTCTTCCCATATTTTCCTCAGTCGAAATTTACATCTTATTTCGTTTCTTGATACCCATTGAGTCGCTCTATTCCGATCAATATACTTCCTATTAAGAGATAGTATACATAGTCTTTATTACATTTCGTTTCCGATTATATAATTGTTTGTTATTTTTATGTATTTCATGTTAAAGTAAAATTACCCACAATAATCTAAATAAATAAGACGAACTTATTATTACTTAATAATAAGACGAACTTATAGGCTATGATGAAGCTGACCTTTGAGCACACAAAAGTGTGATTTATCAATTTTATTTCATACTTTGTGTGTTTTTTGATAAGGTCCATTTGCAAAAAATAAGCAATAATATTTTTTTAATGGAAGATAGCAAATATTGTAGCATTTTGAACTATTGAATAAATGGGCCATCTTTTAAAATGATGTGTCTTATTACTTTAAAAAAAATATGGAGGTGCAATTTATTGTGACTGCGATTAATAACCTTATTATTTTAGATTACGTTGAAAAAACACTGCAAATTTTGCAAATTTATAATCACAGTACATAAAGATATAGTTTAGAGTGTCGATATTCAACATTTTCAAATATTTTTATTTATTTTTACCAGAACTAGTATAACCTGACCTCTCGCCCGGTACTCACTTGTCGTTAAGTTTTGGGAAACCCTACATGTAAATTTATTTTCAATAGGCACAACAAAACTTAAAATGTCATCAACATCGTCCACGGAAAACGCAAATGGTGCCAACACGCCTTCAAGTGTTCAATCTCAATTCGTCGAAAGAAGGCGGGCAGCTCTTGAGAGATTCTTGAACCGCGTGGCGCAACACCCCGTGTTGTGCATCGACCCAGATTTTCGACAGTTTCTAGAGTCTGGTAAGTCACTAGGTATATATTTCCACAGGTAACACTAGCACGACTTCAAATGTTCACACTTTTAGAAGCAGTGTAGCTCCTTGTGAAAGAGTTCATCCAGGGAAATATTGCCACTTTACCTATTTCTGCCGCCGAGCAGTAATGTGAGCATTACTGCGTTCCGGTTTTGAAGCGAAGGGTGCTAGTAAAATTACAGGCACATGACTTTTTAACTTATGTCTCAGGGTAACGGGCGCGGTGGCAGTGCCCCTCAGATCTTTGCGATTTAAAGCTCCGAGCAGCACTGCAACTGTTATGGGCAGGCGTCTAGCTTACCATTAGGCGGACGACTTGTCCGTCCCGTCACGGTATAAAAAAAACACATCATTAATCAAGAAGACGGGCTCTTAGTAGATGTTTCTTAATCGTGTAGAACAGCCTTGATTGAACATCTACTCAGATTTTTGACAGTTGCTTATATCTCGTACAATAGAGATACACCAGAATTACTAGCTCTTGATTTTCTGTTCGATTTAATGGTTACTCCACATGAACAAGCTTCCCCACAACTAAACTTGCATAAGCCAAGTACACGTATGCACGCGTGCTGTGTAAAGTGTTTGTGGTAGGTATTTTTCCTCTTACGTAACTAATTACATGCGCAACTCTACTCGCAGAGAAGATTGATCGTGTGTATGCGACTTATAAGTGTTATGAATTAATATACATGGTGGAAGTTTGAGACGGGTCAATTTTTTCGATGGCAAAGTTCTTTGGGATTGCTGACATTTATAGTACTCTTACTCTCAGTTGGTCCCATGGAGACTTTTGCACCTTATCAGAAATAAAATCGAATGTCTCGTAAAAAAAGTTTCATGAAAATTGTCTTATATCTTGCTGACTGTACTATTTCTTGGAAATCTGGGAATGCCTCCACAGGCAGTGTCTTCAAAATTCATGACAGTCTTCGAGGACCTGCGTCCTGATTTTGATTCAAATCAAAATCGTCCGATCGGGTAGTCTCGAAATCAGATGGATTTCTGAACGTGAGGATGAACCTGATTCCTACTATAGCTTTCTAATTTGCGAGTTAAATCAACTATTGTTCCGATTAGAAATGTCAAAAGTTTCCGATCGGCCAGTTGTGAATCGCAATTATGCGCCTCGACTCGGAAAAGACGCAGTTTCCGATCGGGAGAGGCAATCAAAATCAAGCTGTGACGGTTAAGGTGTGTTGACTCTCTCAAACCACCCTGTAAGTCTGTATATGATTTGACGACCGCGATACCTCAAGCGTTTGCTCTGTGGGCGCTTGATGACGAAGTCCCATTATCTCGAATTTGGGAAACAAACTTTTATAAATTGAGTTCTTAGGTTTTCGCAATTGTTACACATGGGACATTAAATATTTTTTTCGTATCTAAATTGCGTATATTTGTTTTTTATAAACAAACCAAATTTTCGGGCACTCTACAGATCCCATGGTCACCCGTTCAGGTGACCCCGAGTGATCCCAAAGTTTGAAACCAGATATTTGATGTGGTTGCCTAATACTGTTCCTGAAATGTTGTTCTTCCTTAGAAGTTATACCAAAAACTCTATTGGTCAAACAAATATTACCTTTTAATAATATCAATGGTTTATACTTTACTAAAACTGTGGTATGGTGTATGGTATTTGCAGAAGCAGATCTGCCAAAAGCAACAAGCACATCCGCATTGAGCGGTGCGGGCGTGTTGCGGCTGTTCAACAAAGTCGGCGAGACCGTGAATAAGTTTACTTATCGAATGGACGAGTCCGACCCTGTAAGTAGACATACTGGCTCCTTGGGTGCTCTGTGGTGGATCGATTGCAGCACATAGTAAAGCAGATTTAGGCATGCTAGTTGTGGTGTTGCAAATTGCAAACTTACTTGGCAAACAAAATAGAAAAATTCAATTTTATAAATGGCCAAAAGGGAAAGTAAGTACAATTATTGCTTTTCCAATCTACCAGATTCCAGTGTATCAAAGTTTTTAGTAGTTGCGCTTGGTCACAATTTCATCTGATATTAAGCGACAAAAGCGCTAAGCGCTTTTATAATTTTGTGATAGCTTTATAGATATCTATATAACATCTGCGCTTGCGCTCGTGGCAAGACGTCACATATCTCCATTATCAACCCGTTCGACGTAATGCATTCTCTGTAGAACATTTTTAGCACAAAATTAAAAGTTTTCTTGTTCTGCTATTACCAATTAAAAATAATAATAATTTGTACAGTATTAATAATTCCTTATTGCGCAAGGAAAATACAGTTTTGCAGTATTTGTAAAAACCTCTAAATAAGGACTCCTTTACTTCTCACCTACAGACATTACGAGTATTGAAATTTCCTATTTTGTAACGTGGTAATACAATTCAGCTAATACATTTCAGTGGTTCGAGGAAAGATCTGCCCGAATAGAAGCCCTAGAAACGTGTCTGAGACGATTATTCGGTGCTTGCGAGTCGTTAGCCAACGAACGGCGTGAACTGGGGGTGAGAACACACGACGCAGCCAGGGCTTGTGCGGCACTGTCAGGGGCCGATCCACATGCACCCTTGTCCAGAGCCTTATCTAACCTAGCTGACTTACATGAAAAGGTAAACCAATTGACATATAGAGATTTAGTACATTATTGCAGATGCAAGTGGAAGTTAACCTTAAAAAAATTATTACCGGACGAATATGTACTATACGTTTCTGCCGAGGTATATATAGTGCTTTTCTCAAACAATGCAAAGAAACAATAAAAAACTAAAAAATATAGAAGAAAAAGGTAAAAATAAGTAACTCCACGACAAATATTGCTTTTTGTTTTAATTTGGGCGGAGTAGAGTTCGTTATTGTATTTTCAGTCTTCTCACTAGAACTTTTTTAAATATAAAAAGTATAAATAACAAAAAAGAACTTTATAATATTTTCGATTACCGCCTTTTTAAAAAAAATATTCGTAACCAATTTACGCGAAAACACGCCTGTAGATTCGACTGCACGCCATGATGTAGCCGGTGTGAGAGACTAGTGCAGTCGGATCTGCAATCAGACGAGATGCAGTCGTGCTAACTGCTTTTCGGCTGCTATTTTCCGGTTCCAAAGTAACTTGTGAGACTACACCCTTAAAATACGTGGTCTAATGCCATAAATGATTTTCGTCTTACCACGACCTAATCAGCTCTATGCACCGAGAACGGCGCGGTTTCTCTGTTAACAATTCAACCGCTTTTTTATGAAGTATGGCTTTGACTGCGCTAACGGACAAAATGGCGAGCTAAAGGCACTTAACCCGTATCACTCAACCGTTAAAATCTTGTGGACGTTATCACTTACGACGATAAATTTGTAAATCGCAGATAGAACACCTCAGAGTGGAGCAGGCGAATACAGACTACTACGTGTTAACTGAACACATCAAGGACTACCTCGGGCTCATCGGTGCTATCAAAGACGTGTTCCATGAAAGAGTAAAAGTAAGTAATGTTAGCACCAGCCATTTATTAATACGCTATTTGATTCTAAATTTCTTTACTCCTGCAAAGTTTTTATGAATAGTTGTCGATTTAATTTGAGTAGAATCGATAACAGTAAAATGGCAACATTAGGGATAATGATGTAGGTTTGCATAGTACAGCGGTATAACAGTTTTGTATTAATATTATGCAATATAATGTACTTGTAAAATTCAAAAACTAATAAATTCAGTTAATAAAAATGGAAGTAAATTGAAGGTTAAATCATGTAAAATAGAGGCGCGTTGATTTTTTCTTTTTATACGATTTCAAAAATAGTTGGAGCTTTTCAATTCGACTGTATTTTTTAATTGTATGTATATTACGCGATAAATTTGTGAACCGATTATGATAATTCTTTTTTTGTTGGAAAGAGGAGACCTCATTATTGGTCCCATTTAAATTTGAAGAAAATATTTCACCTCTAAGACTCAACTCACACTGGCGCAGAGTCGAAGCGTCGCCACGCGTCATGTTTTTCGCCTATAGCATATTCATCTCTATTTTCCCATTATTACAGTGTGAGTTGACCCTACAGGTAACAAACTATTGGACGAATGCAGTTTCGCGCACTTTCCGGTAACCGATTTCAATAAAACTTGGCAATTAGATGTAATTCCACGAACTTTTGAGGTCGGTTTTCTGAATTACATTAAAAATTAACTGTATTAAAAAATCAACTTTTAACAGTCACTGGGTTCGCAGAGCAATTTATTTTCATTTTTACAACAATTAGCGATTAAAAAACAATTGTGTTAATTACACACTACATTTCTTATTTAACTTAAATACCTGACACGCACTCTCTTCGGTTCACTTTTCACCGTAGAACTTACGTAACAGTATGACGAACAAAGAGAAAGCTTCGTAATAAAAGTAATTACATTCGGTGTATTACTAGTATTGCTTATTTGATAGTAATTGTTCCGGACGGAGAACGGGAGTAGAGTCCCAGGACTCAGAGGATTTCTATTAATAATTAATAACAAATTGAACTTAATAAAAATTCATTCAATAAAATAATTTGTAAAACTTAATATAGCGTAAATTGGAATGTTTTCTTTGTAAAATTAAAAATAAGGTATTTTATTAATAACTATAGTGGAAAAAATAGGGTGGTTTGCATCAATATTAGACATAACTGGTTGAAGACTGTTCCACCTCAGTCAACCGTGACCATGGGACCTGTAAAGGACCCGAAACGTCGGTTTGTTTGAAAAAACAAATATACGCGATTTAAATCCGGAAAAATAGTTTCATTTTCTATGTGTAACAATCGCGAAAACCTAAGAACTCGTTATTTTATTTTATTTATTACCTACCTACTTTTATTTTTTAAATTTTGCTTTTTTTTGTTAACTTTGTAAGTATTTATTTATATGTTAGTCATAAATCAACCTATTCTATTCAATATTCGCTGGTGTTAAGGAATTTGGCAACCAAAATTCATATACCTAAACCTCAAATCTTTTTCTACGAATCCGCAGGTGTTCCAGAACTGGCAGCACGCGCAGATGCAGCTAACGAAACGACGCGAAAACAAGGCAAAGGCTGAGCTTGCCAACCGGCCGGATAAGATAGAAACGGCTTCGCAGGAGATTATAGAGGTGGACTTTTTCCTCCAAAGCAGAAAACTCTATATTGGCGAAATCCTAAAAGGGCGCTGCCAATAAGTAAAAAGAAGAAGATTAATCATTGTATCAAAATTGTATCTCCCTTCACAATCTATCGATAAAACTATCGACAACAACTACATGACTAAATTTGTATTGAATTGATATTCAATGATTTTTTGTGAAATTACTCCACTAGTTTGATATAATTATTAATACAAAGATCGCACACGACGTCTTCTAGCAAACCGTGCAAGACTCTATGCCAACAAAGCCACGGAACGAACCTAACTAACGACTACATAACTATAAAAAAAAATTCAAGAATCTAACCCAATAAACTCCATTTTATTCCATCTTGGAAAGAAATAGTCAGTGCGTTTGCTCACTGCTTCCGATTTATACCAGGGGCTCTACTCTCGATCTCCGTCCGACATCCGTCCGAAACAATTACTGTCAAATAAGTAATATTCAACACACAACAAAATTAAAAGACAAGTATCAAGTATGAAGCTTCATTCGCATCACGCGTCTTTTCATTTGGTCAATTATTGCTTATTTGGCAGTAATTGTTTCGGACGGATGTCGGACGGAGATCGAGAGTAGACCCCCAATTCCGAATCTAAGAAATGACGTTCCGAAATATCATCCGAAGTGGGTCCGAATTTTATAGATTTTATAGTCTCGGATTCGGAACAAATACGAATCGGATGCTATACGCAAACGCGCTTCGGCCCCTAGACCTAAACGTATTGTATAAAATTTCAGTGGGAAGCAAAGGTGGAGCGTGGGCAACAAGAGTTTGACCAGATATCCCGCGTAATTAAGAAAGAAGTAGAACGCTGGGAGGAAGCACGGCTTGACGAACTGCGCACCACACTGCTCAGATATCTCGACGAACATATGAAGCATCAGGCAAAGGTACGTTATTGATCGGCAAAATTTGTGAACCTTGTACCTCCATTAAGAGTCGATATTTCCTCAGCTCGAATTAAAAATTTTCCCGTACTAATACGTAATAGGTTCATTTTGCTTGGGTCGTGCGGCAGGGACAAGCTTTATCAGATTTTTTATAAACGAAATTAGAGCATTTGAAAAATGTATATCGTATAGTATACGTGTTCTATTTACTTCTGTCAATATAAAAAAATCGTTGGTATATGTAATGGTATATATACCATATGTGTAATGGTATATATACTATAATATGTGTGGTATTTTTAAAGAGTAAAAAAGGGGATGTCGTCCATAAACGGAGTTACGAGGTTATGTTGATGGAAAAAAGTTTTTGCATAGTCTTGATTCAGAAATTCTTATTGTTTGTTCAGATGTTAATAATTAAAGTTCGTCAAAATAATTACTTTGTTTACGCTGTAAGATGATGATACGAAACCGATGGTGGGAATTATTAACTGCCTCTGTAGCTGAACCGTTACCTTGCTGGACTGCCACGTTAAGGTCTCGGGTTCGATGCCCGGGTCGGGAGAAATATTTGTATGGCTAATTTGTGGTTATCTATGTATGTGTACATGACTCATGCGATACGGCGTTTCCCTAATGCAGGCCTATGCTGTCCTCAGAACGAAAAAGGGCACAACTGCTGTATAAAGTACGCAATGTTGTGCCTTTTTACGTTACGAGGGCAGTATGAGTGTGTGCGTTATTATTATTATTATTATTAATTACTATAAATAAATACAATTATACTACACCATCAAAGAAGATTTTCCCGTATTTAAAAATTAAATTTTTCAACAAGAACTCATGGAATTAGCGTTTAGTATGCCAGTTTCAAAATAGCACAATAATTTTTGATCAATCAAACATTTAGGAAATGAAACTTTTTTCCGAATTTAAATCGCGTATATTTGTTTCTCAAACAAACCGACGTTTCGGGCCCTTTACAGATCCCATGATCACGGTTGACTCGACACGATTTAAATCTGGAAAAATAGTTTCGTTTCCTATGTGTAACAATCGCGAAAACCTAAGAACTCAATCAAACATTGTTTAAGCTTAAGGCATTTAATACTGAAAATGCAAAGGATTGTGCACGAGAGTGTAGTCACAACTATTTAAAAGCAGTAAATCTGAACATTTTATTGTGTAATTGTACTTGTAGGAAAGTGAAAGAGAGGAATGGTTCCGATCAGGGTGGTCTGAACGTCCAGGTGGTTCTTTAGAAATATTACCCATGGTGGGTACTCACAACATTTTAGAATAGATCGAAAACAAAACGCGAAACTATGCACTTCGTTTATTGTAGAGAGGTACAATAATCACACACCCAGGTATTTGGTATAGAGTAAACGTCAGTATTGTGGAGTTGTCTTGTGCCCAGCGATTCGTTCTCGAAAGTCCCTCCTAACAAACAGCAGCCCCATGTATAACGCGACATCCCCACAAGTCTGCCCGCGTGCCGTCAGCCGACTATCTTGCATACAACGTTGTAAAAGAACACCTGCGTCGTTAGTGCTAACGACTGGAGATGCGAAGGCTTCGCAAACAATTTATGGAGCCACTTTTATCACTTGCACTAATGACTGCACGGGTGCATACTCGTGCCACGCCAGAGCAAAAAGCGCCCCACTGCTCCGCTGCGCGCTGTTTTATACCGTTTGCATAACAAGCCGTTTACTCCTTGTGTTGTTTACCGTTTTACGCGCCATAAGAGGAAGCGTACGATTAGCAATGAAAGAGACTCTGAGTCGTATTCTAGAACTCTACTCAATGCTCAAGTCAGGATTTGAGTATGGTTTAAAGCCCTCGAAATCATAGTCAAGTTCCTGCCATTAGGGTCGTATTTCCAGTGCTTGTGTTTCCAGTGCAATCCTGACTTGAGCATTGAGTAGAGTTCTAGAATACGACTCTTAGTCTTTTAAGGCGTTTTATAACGACTGACTTCATTTTACAGAACTGAACTCTAAAATTACGACTGGGGGTTCAAGTTTTTATTAATAAGACTCAGTCGTTATGCTAAAAGACTCAAAAGACTTAAACGACTCCAGTTGTTTGCAAAGGACTTATACCTATTTTATGTCTTATTAAACCCGAAGTTTATAAGTAAAAATGGCGTAAGTAGTATGTGGTAAATAATTACGTTTATTTACTTATAATAAAAACTTTGTGGGTAGAAATAAAATCACGCCATACGGCTCATGACTCGCGACTCCCGAGGCTATGAGGCGCCAGTCGTTTTAGTACTACAAGTCTTTTAAGCTTCCTAGGGTTAAAAGACTTTCGACTCGAATTAGTCTTCAGTTTTAGTCTTATGTCTCAAGACGAGGGCTAAAAGACTAGACTAGTCGTGTGGCGTTGAAAATTAGTCGACGTTTTTTAAAAGGCCTTAAAAGACTGAGTCTCTTTCATCACTACGTACGATGGCGCCGCCGTCATATTTATTTATAACTAATTCTTATCGTCATTTCTTATCTTCATACACTAATTAACTAATAATTTTGACCAATTTTAATAATAATAATAATAGTTCATTTCTTTAACTGTTTACATTTTACAATGCAATTTAGCAATGCCTGTGATAGGGGATTCCGCTCTTCCATAACCATAGCTTTCCAATGTATAAACTTATTGTATTTTAAATATTCAAACATTTCAAAACTTAAATTAATTTGAATATTAGTTTTTAACTAAGCTAAAATGTTTATGTTTATGGGATTTAATATTAATTATCTTTTAAGAGAATACAATACCAAACCACCTAGTGTATTTTGAGTTGTATGTGTAGCATGAATTTATAGTGAGTGTACAGGTATATGTGTGTGAATGTGTATTAGTGTATACTTGAGAATACTACTATATGGATTTCAGAAGCGTCTCAACTTCCTCATAATTAAGTAATTTTAACCACTTATATAATATGTTTTTGCATTTATAATAGTTTTTTTAAAATACATAATATGTAATTCTTTATTAATTTTATTATATAGATAGGCTGGGCGTCTACTGTACTGCATACCAGCAAATGTTGATTTAGTGTTAGGAACCTGTGCTACATAATCCTTTCTTCTTTTATTTTCTATATTTGTGTCATATGGTAATGTTTTATGCATTTTAAGAACTATTTGCAATATATATAGCTTTCTGACTGACAGAAGATTGCTTAAGAGATAAATATTATATGTTGAGTAATCCATCTTTTTAAAATACATGCCTATGAATTATTACAATATACAATATCAAATTTTGAATTAAGACTATTTAAAAACTTTTTAAACATGATAATGATGAAAAACTTTTTTCTGCGCTATGTCGGCACGAGATGAAGAAATAACATTTTATTTACTTCTAGATGTATTGAAAAGATTTTTTTGCTTACAGTCGATCCGCTACTGGAATGCGTTCCTGCCTGAAGCTCGTGCGATCAAATGAGTGGGGCGCTGCCGGCGACTCCCCCACTCGCCCTAAAACGCCAAATTCCACCGCCGCAACCTTACGCGGGCCGCACTTATTAAGATACCAATAACATATAATGTAGATAAGAAACAAATACTATAATATACTTACGCGGTGAGACATAGAAACAGTTACAAAGTTGTTCTCTGATTTATTTGCACATACGCTAACGCACACAAACGACACATTTTCTTAATTGAAAACTGAAGTTAATTTTTTCATACTTATTAATGCAGATCGAACATTTTACCGTAGCGCCATCTATGAGAAATCTATGAAAGTTTTATTCCACTATTCTAATATAATAGTGAGAAAAAAACTTAAAAAATTGTATCTAGATTTCTCACAGATGGCGCTATGGCAAAATATCCGTTAAAACCAAAAACAAACGGCGATCTGCAACAAACGCATGGAAAGACTCCGGCCGGGGCCGCACTAGTATGGCGAAAGCGACACGGCGGCGACGCGAAGAATTAGGTGGCCGCATTGCAAAAGCGAGAAGCCAGCGAAACGCTGCTACGTCACTTAATGGGTGGCCGCAGCGGGCAGGTTAGGCGATCAGTGGCGGCCGCACTGACGCCGCACTCGTATAGTTGAACGACAAAATCAAACTATCTTGTATACGTCGTGCGATGTCTCCTTCGCAACTCTTCGCTCGAATATGGCGCGCTCTTTCGCACGAACGCCGCGAGGCAGTGCGGCCGCTCAGGTACATCACCGCATATTTTGTCGCAAATCGCCGTGTCGCACCGCTGCTTGTCGAACGAAATTCAAGTGTCGTCGCGAGTCGCTGAATAATTTTATTTAATGCGGACACCCTCATTACTTGTTGAACATTTGGAATTTCTTTACGATATAAACAAATAAATTTCGCTTGTCGTTTCTGCAGTGCGCCCACCGACATATGTTTATATGAGTTTGTTTTCACGAAATCGCCGTCGCGTCGTAGTCGTCTTAGTAGTGCGGCCGCGGCCTAAAATCTGTACCTCAGTTGGTAGAACGGTCGAGTCGGTCACACAGGGTCGAGTCCTGTCAGATCCTTATTTTATTATTAATAATAACAAATTAATGGAGTAATTTAGCAAAAAAATAAATGTATTAAAATTCATAATAATAATATTCATTACAATCAATAGTGAAGTTAATTTCGTTTATTTTGTGTTCCAATCAATATCTAAGTGTGACAATTTAGCACGTTAGCAAGTATCTGTACAGACTTATTTTTTTTACTAATCCTCTTATAAAACCAAAGCTGCCTGTTTAATTTTAACTGTTTCATAGATCATTAAACTTGTTTCTTCTTGTACAGGTTCATTGGTTATCTTCTACGGAGAGAACGACAATAATTTTAGGGAATATTAAAAGTAATTTCATTGCAAATGAAACTATTTTTCAAACCTAAACGTAACGTTTCGATCTCTATACATGTCTCATAGTCACCACAACGCTATCCACTGGCTGATTCGGGGCCAGGGCCTGGATTTGTGAGGTCGCTGATCCCTGTGCTTGCACAGGTTATAGTGCCCTTCCCGCACAACCAAGAGGTTAATAAGGAGGGCCACTGTAATCAAAACTTAAATAGAAAGATATGGGACCGTCCCATAGTAACGAATATAAAATAGTTTCATTTCCAAGCTAGCACTGCGAAAACTCATTAAACTCGTTAAAAACTAATTAAAGTTTAGAATTGCACATTCTACACTGCATAAATGCCAAATAGTAATGCCGTTGAGGTTTTAAATAATAGCAAGTGCGATGATAACGCGTAAGTTTGCGGGCGGCCTTAGTTCTATGCTAAAATGTCGTTTTTGTACCCACGTTATACACGTTCATTGAAACAATAATCACATTAGGTTATGAATCCCCTTTTATATTCCGTCATTTAAAGTAATATAAGAAACGTGATATTCTCGACTTTATTATCATAATGAGAATATCACACAGGACAAATAATGTTAGAAAATATATATATATAAATACAGCTTATTTACAGGTGTATATAAATACATGTATTTATATACACCTGTATATAAATACAGGGTGTAAATTTAAGACGAGGCAGCAAGGCCAGCTACCTTAATCGTTGTAGTTACAGGAAAACGGTTCTAGAAGACTATCCATGAATTTTGAAGATATATTGATTGGCATTCAGCAGTCAGTACAGTCAGCAGACTGTACCATTTTTTCAAAATCTAAATAGCAAGATATAAGGTAATTTTTACAAAACTTTTTTTATGCCATTCTATCCGGTCTCTGGTAACGATCAATAGTCTCTATGGGACCAACTGAGGTAAGAGTACTCGAAAAGTCAGAAATCGCAAAATACTTTTTACTATACAATTTGTAGGGACATATTTAGTAATAAGTTTTTCTAGGTAGTTAAGGAAACTAACAAATTGACTATGTATTATGTATTTCAAAATAAAAACAATAACAAAAAGCAAAATTAACATAAAAAATCTATGATAGTAAGTGCTTGAATTGATTGCCGCCATGCAATTGATACATCAATTCGCTCTCTTCCGCAAAGAGCAAGTAGCGGCTGAAATTTTACTTGGATTCCATTGAAAATTGCTGCAAGTGCGTCTTTCAATTCTTGAACACTTGTATTTTTTTTTATAAATTTTATTTTTTACATAGCCCTAAAGAAAAAAAAACAAGGGGCGTCAGATCAGGGGGTCGATTCAGAACCTTATGATAACTAAGTCGTCGACCGATTCCATTTGATATCGTACGATTTCTTTTCATTTTTATTCACAACACCCGAACCGAACGTCAAACTGTCGTATTCGAAACCGAACCGAAATGACGTCACTCCCGTACGATTACTCGAGCTTCTCGATCGTCAAAGACTACAAACGTTATTCAGAACACAGTTATCGAATAAAAGTTACCGAACGTCCTATTGTATACAAAGCAAGAATGTAATATGCAAATATCTTATTATTTTAAATAAGGTCTGGATTTTGTTCAATTTTATTAATTTATATTAATGCCTTATATTTTAGACCTTTTAAAAATGTATATAAAAGGATTTTAATTTTTCTTATAATCTATTTTTCCGACTAACTCCATAAACGTTCGAGAACGATATCCAACCGAACGATTCGATTAAAATATCGAAGAGTTCTGAATCGGGGTCCTGCACTGCGACGGGGCCATTTGATAGGACCATGTGTTCCAATCCATTTTGTTTCCACATTTGAAAACATTTTGATTAAAAATCGTATTAAAAGTGACAATTCGCTGTTAACACAACAAAACAAAGCTGTTTCAAATTTAAAGAATAATATGATTATAAGTGGCCAGTTTCTAATCTAACAAAAAGTTTTCATTTAAAATGTGTGGTAAAAGGTTTTTTGCGATTTCTGACATTTCGAGTACTCTTACCTGAGTTGGTTCCATAGAAACTATTGATCCTTACCAGAGACCGGATCCAGTGCCATAAAAAAAGTTTTGTAAAAATTGCCTTTTATCTTGCTGACTGTATTTTTTCGAAATCTGTGAATGCCAACCAAAATATCTTCAAAATTCATGGATAGTCCTGTAACTACAACGATTAAGGTAGCCGGCCTTGCTGCCCCGTCTCAAATTTACACCCTGTATAATTGGATATAAAACTATTCTTTCCGATCTAAATCGTGTACATTTGTTTTTTCACAAACCAACGTTCTTCATAGGTCCCATGGTCACGGCTGACGTGACGTGATAAAATTTACACGATTTCAAAAAAAAAACATATTTTCTTTTCCTATGTGTATCAATCGCAAAAATGTAAGATTTCGATAAAATTCTACAATTATGTAATTATACTTCTAGTAATATACATACAATTAAGTATTTCGATTAGGAACCTGTAATTCTTTCTAGTAACTATGCAGTGACACGTTCAGTGGTCACATGTGCAGTGATCACACGTTCAGTGATCACGCGTGACCTTGAACGTGTATTTCAGTGGTGGTTACGTATTGATATTGCGTTCATCACGTATCTCGTAAACGTCTAAATTTGAACGAAAAACATTGATAGTGAAATGCTTACCTATAGACTATAAAAAGTCAGGATTCATAATCTAACGTTAATTTATGTAGAAAACAATTTCCAAATATTTCTTATTGCACATATTTCGCATAGTACATAGCTAGTGCATTTCTTTATTTCAAGCACATATATGATTATAAAAAAAGGTGTAATATAAAATTAATGTTAGTAATATTAGACCTTATGTCTAATATGTTGACAATATAATATTTGTATATCTACATTTAATACGATGAGGATATAAATGGCAATAGGCACTGTCCCTTTCTTCATTGCGGTCCTTGTCAATTTACTTTGTCCCTATGGATTTTAAAATCCACACATTTGCCAAAATTTCGTTTGAAAACTCTACATGTTATTTATCTTTGTGCAACATAAAGCCTTATTGAGTTCAGTAACAACGATTTTAAAGAGTCAACACACTTATCGAGTCGGAATCACCTGAAGCCATACAGAAAAAACACGTTTCGCGTCTTAGGTCCGAGCGCAAGCGAAACGCGCAACGTCTTTTTCGTTCTTATTGCACAGACATAAAGATTTTTCTGACCAACTCAAGCCGATTACCCGTTAATAATTATGTATGATGACTCCTTAATTGCACGACACAGGTGAACGTGGTCTTTTTTGTATTTTCGTATCGTCAATAATAAGGCAGCTTTCTATAGCTGCACAAGATCACACTTCGCACGTTCTTATGAATTGAATTTCACATTGTAGCAAAATAATGATCACACTCACAGTGAGACACGCACGCTACGTCAACGTATGCACTGTCACGTTGCGTAGTGAATCGTGCCGGTGTACGTGAGCTGTTATAGATGGGCATGATTGCTAGAAATTAAGATTTGTTATAATCATGACACGAAACATACGAAATAATTTAGTACGTTTTTTTAGACTTATGCTACATTTTTTTTAAATATAAAATTCTGAATGAAATTCATGTTATGGTGTTAATATTGGCGAAATACGAAATCGTACAAACAAGGCGAAATATGCGTAGGTACGCGTCGCTAGATCGATTCTGCCGCACCGGAATAAAAGTCTGTTTTTATCAAACAAAACTGAACGGCTTTTAAACATCGTAAAGTCGATAATCGCGAGTGATTAAAATTCAATTACGTCACATTTTGACGCATAGCAGGTCAATGCATAAACAGATCGATTGCGTGATACTGCTAAAGCGGAATACTGAACGC